GGAATAATAACCTGGGGTAAAAGAATGTAAGAAAAAAATTGTTTATATTAATTATTCAGAAATCGTGAGATGCGGTCTAGTGTGATGTATGTTTCAGAAAAACATTTTCTTTATCGTGCCAACGTTTCGATCTTTATTGAGATCATCTTCAGGGCTCAAAGTGTTTGTCTTCTGTGTAATTGTGCCATTCTTGCGTGTCGTGTTGAGAGTGCCACTGTGGGTGGGCACTCTCAACACGACACGCAAGAATCCCGTGAAGATGATCTCAATAAAGATCGAAACGTTGGCACGATAAAGAAAATCTTTTTCTGAAACCTACATCACACCAGACCGCATCTCACGATTTCTGAATAATTATCGATTAACGGTCACTAATCACCACACATTGTTTGTATTTATTTAATATTTCGAGAAAAATATTACCATTTGAATTTAGCAATAAAATTATAATATTGCAATGGTTTTACTTGCTTGTGTTTAATATAATATTCACAGTAATTATGATGATAATGATGGTGTGGCGAATTCGTAGAAATGTGATGGTGCAGGGGCATTGAATGTATGTATGTAAACTAAGTTGCCCTACATTAGCAGATTTTTTACAAAATTCGTTAATAGTAGTGAAAATTAATACGAGTAATTTTTTTTTTGTAGTAGAAACTTGAGAATAGACGAATGTGTAGGGGGCGTCGGTGGCCGCAACGGTTTAGGCCTTGACACGGCTTTCATCGCTGTATGGTGAAGGTCCCCGGTTCGAATCCAGTGGCCCTGCAGTCTCGAACCCAACATACAGTTGGGCTTTTTTCCAAAAATACCGGCACCCTGGAGGTTGACATGAGCTCTGCTGTTGCGAACTCTCGTAAACAAAAATATTTTAAAAAAATAGAAGAATGTTAAATACATTCTTTGAACTACAATAGATGCAATGCTTTATTTAATACACTTTGCCAAGATAATCTAATTCAGGGTGTAACTCGTCCTCTCCATTTATATTTTCTTTGTTTATCCAATTAAATATAAAGAAGATCAAGCCCGTGTGTGTGTTGCTTTGATGTTTGGCGGGGGTTCCAGTGAAAACGCGGCTGCCTCTTTTATTCAAGTGGGCGAAGAACCAGGCCTCTTGAGATCTTGGCGGTTCAAAGCACTTTTGAATACACAAAGGATCTGTTTGCACAGTGCCCCCTGCACGGTGATTTCCAATTGCTTATTACATAAGGGACATTTCAAAAGCTTACAGCGGAACCGTTTATTTACCAATGGACTTTGACGTCTTTGAAAGTATTAATAATGTTTTGCCGAAGTTCTTAAGTATCGGTTGAGTTAACGAGGTATTTTTTCGTGTGAGTTACGACTTTAGACTGAACCCATAATATTTGATACAAAATAATTTAAATATTCTTCTTTTTAGGCCTGTTTAGTTTTGTATTTTAGTTTATACACAAATTTATAGTTTTTCCTTTGAGAAAATCTCTAAATGTTTACAAATAAAGCGAACTTAAGCTTGAAAATAAAACAGCTCATTGTCTCTTTCTTTAAAGTAGGACTTTCTTTATATCCTTGTCATTGCATCATACTACAAGCGTGGTAAAAAAATTATTGAATCATTTTATTTAAAAATTGACTTTGACGAGTCTGAGAGTACTGATAATATTTTGTCTAAGTTCTCAAATTTGGGTTGAATTAAACCGGAATTTTTCGGGAATGTTACAACTTTAGAAACGCTCAAAGAAAAAACATTGTGTCTATTTGTTTATTAGAAACATAAAAGAAACATTCATCAGTAAATTCGGGAACATGTTAATTTTTAGACTTTTTACGAAAACTTCAAATTAAGCTGTGGAGCAAGGAAATCGTCCTGGAGCGGCGCCCTGTAGCAATCGATAAGAAATTTGAATAAGCTTTCAATTAATTCCAACCACCTTCCACTTTGCCCGATTGCTCTATCGAGAGAGTGATCGGTTTTCCCATGAGCACGTAAAAAACCACGTTTTTCCACAAAAATCGCGAATAACTGGAAAACGGTTATGAAATCGTGCGGGGGTGTTGAGAAACCAAATTGCATTTTTTATTTATTTGTTTATATTAAACTACAACTAGTTTTTGTACTGAATAAAACAGGTTTTTATGAGATTCCTATTTAGAAGAGATTTTTTTTGCGAATCAAGTCTTCTGGTGTATCTCGCCCTGAATTTTGGAAATCCCTTACGCTTTTTAAACATACATGTATATACAGGGTTACTAATCCTTTTATCCTATTCTTCTTGTTGAGTAAATTGGGTTTTAAATTGTTTTGTGGAAAAAAATGATCTTTTTCACTTAAAGTCATGGTTTTAAGTCGAGAAGATCTCGCCCCGCTGATACTTTGGCCAACGACGCACGTAGCGCTCTTACATAGCTTAAGTCCTGTAAGGGCCGCGCTCTACCATCCACGATGATCTACAAATATTTAGAACCACCGGAAATCTCAATGGGAAGTGGTCGACCGCCAAGTACAACGGCCAGATACGATCGTTTTATTTTTATTTTAAGGGCTTCATTGTTAAGAAGTCAATTCCAAACGGTCCATAATATAAGGATGAGCTGTAAACGGTCATCAGAAGGCTTCGTGAGAATAGCCTTTAGTCGTTCCGCACAGGTCTTCTGCTGCTGGTGAGGCGTCGAATAGAAAGGCGACTATTCGCAAGTCGGGATTTCATTTGTACACTTAAATAATTCAGGGCTGTTCTGTTGATAAGAAGTGCCGGTTTGGTTTGTGGCAATCAGTTGATCGGGACCGTGTGTGGAAAAGACATGGAGAATGCTTTGTTTCATGTTATGGTAATAACAATCAGTTATGTATGGGGTGGCATCAACGTCGATGGCCGTACCGATCTGGTTATCATACAGAATGGGTCTTTGCCTGCACTAAGGTACATTGAGGAAGTTCTGGCAGCTGCGGTCCCATTCGCTCCATTTATCGGGGACAACTTCGTGTTAACACGTGTCCGCATGAACCTCGAGATGTCACCCATTACTTGGAGGATGTAGGGTTTACCACAATGAATTGGCCAGCGCGTTCTCCCGGCACGAATCCGTGTACGCTTATGTAACATGATAAAGAGATGGGTTAGACATCGTTCGCCGCCTCCAACAAGCTTTGAACAGCTTTAAACCTCTCTTGTTGATGAATGGGATTCTGTTTCACAAGACGAAATCCGGTTATTTATTCCTATCTAGGAAATTTAAGGCCGTAAGCGAGAATAAAAGAGGTAATACGCGTTTTAAGAGCAAAACCAGGTAATAAATAATTAGTTAATTTTTAATTTATTGTTAAATGATTTTCCGGTTTGTTGGTCATTTTTTTCAAACCAGCATAATTAAATAATTTTTATTGAAACTCATGAACTTTTGATCTCGTTTAAATTTGGTTTACATTAAAATAAGTATGTTGTATTTAATATAACCTAAAAATTCATATAGTTTGAATAAACAACAAAATACAAATGTCCAATTTTTTATTTTTGTGTATATAAAATATATATTTCCTTAGAAAAAACTCTAATTAATTACAACTAAAACGTACAAGCATGAATAAAACCGTTGATTTTTTTCAGTCATCAAAGTTAGAATTTGTTTATATCTTTGTTATTTATACCATTACTTGTGTTGGAAAACAGTTTTCTTAAATACTATCATACTTAGCGATTTAAACGTTTTTTAAGCATATTCGGCTTGTTTTAACCAAGTTTAGAAAATATACCTATTTACTAAGTAAAGTAGTTCCTGTTTCGTCTGACTAGGGCTCACATCACTTCACAACACTTTTGTCAAATATTCTTAATTGAAATTCCTAAGCAACGGCAGGAATCGAACCCAGAACTCGTACGTCCCCTACCCATAATTCTGTTTCTAAGAATTAATTAACTTTTTTTTAAAGTTGAGATAGAAAAGTCAGTGTCACGAGCAGGATTCGAACCCACGACCTTCGGCTTGATACGCCGCTACTCTACCATTTTAATTCAAATGAAGTATACTTCACTAAAGCTCTCCGTGGCCATTTCACTTGTCGCCAAGAATCAAATAGATTACACGACATTTGAAAAAGGCAAAAAGGAGGGAAAATTCAAAAGGTGCGGTTGAGGTGGGAAGTTAGTGCCCGAGGAGATCGAAGTCACGATAGCCAAGTGGTAGAGTAGCGGCGTATCAAGCCGAAGGTCGTGGGTTCGAATCCCGCTCGTGACACTGACTTTTTTATCTCAACTTAAAAAAACCTTAATTAATTGTAAGATAGTTAGATTAATTGGGCAAGCGGACCACGAAAAATAGTGAACTTAATCTGTTTCTAACCTTAAAAAAGTTCAATAGTAAAAAATCGAGTTTTGATTAAAGAAAAACATGAAATATTTTGAGATGAAAGCGCTTCGAACTAAACCGTTTTAAAGCCTAACAAAAGAGATTAGCTGTTAGGCAGGTTTCTTTGAAGTATTCCCATGATTAGTGAATCAACTATATCCGTTGTTTATTCCGTGTCGATGTCTGATATCCAAAGCCACCTGTTCACTTTGTTGCAGTTTGTTTATTTAAAGAACCTCGATTTTAAAGAAAGGATTTTTTCTACCCCGAGTTATATTTGATGGCACGCGAGTCCTACTGAGCCAGCTTTATTACCCCCCATCACGGCCCGCCGTTTCCGACTTTCCACAAAAAGAAGAATTTCGGGGATTATAGCTTTTGTATAAACCTAGACTATAAAAAAAGCTTTTGTTCAACACGATTGGGTTATTTGAAAACACAAAAATATTTCGATTTGAAACGTTCTAAACCTTTGATAAAATATGCAACAATATATATCACAAAAAACATGAATATCATATGTATGGTACGAAATTGATGAGCAAATCAAATAAAGCCCTATATTAAATTATCCATTTTTATTTTTATTTTAAATTATTTTTCTGTTTGCTTTATTTATTTTTATTGCAATATATTTTTAACTAATAAAATCATCGTTACATTTATAGGTGAACCATCATATCGCCGGAAGACCATATAATAAAGAAGTATGTATTTTATTTATCAACAGATTTACTAACATCATTAATATGAAATGTTGAAACCGACTAACATCGAATAAGCCTGTAATTCACCTGAAGACATTTTAACAAAGATTCATTAATCTCTAATAGCTAATATAGCTAACATCATTACTATCAATTTCAAAAGTTAAAAACTTAACGTTGTACTTTGCTCAATTTTTATTAACAGCTTTTTTTGCCAAGTCTCTCATGTACTAATTTTCTATATAGACGTAGATAAATAATTAAAACATTTATTGAAGATGTGGTGGTAAGTATTGGGTAAAAGTTATCGTTATATTTGTAGGAATTATTTGTCAAGATTATTCAGTTTAAGAGATATGAACAGAAAAAGCCCAGTTTTTGCACCCTCCCAGAATAGTTCTTACTATTCATGTCTTGTTCTCTTGTAATACCGGAGTTTCAGTAGCATGGAAATTACTACCGTTGGACGTGACTCTTTCTGACGTTTTTCCTTGTCAAAATCCTCTTTTTTTTCAAACCCTCCGACGAAACAAAGCGTTCCCATTTATGAAAGTTGATAGCGCGCTTAGCCCCTTATCTCTTCTCACCTTAGAATATATTCTTAAGTAATGTCCTGAAACAGACCTTTAAGCACTTAGAAAAGCCACTTAGGCATCCAGCGGCCGTATCTAAAGATTAACATAAACGCTGCCTCCTTTTGTTCCCTGACTGTTATAACATCATTAAAAAGAATTTCACTCTAAGCGCCTTTCATTTTAGGCGTTTTCAAGACCTCTTAACTTTTTAATTTAGATTTAAAGAAAAAATTGGAATGTTCCCTCTATGTTCAAAGATTTGCAAAAATATTTCACAGTAGATTGTATTTTTATTTGAAGCTTTTGTTAACGCGGTTGTTTTCTCCTTGCGAAAAAAATACCTTTGGGGATCAATTCAATTGAAATATTGTTACGTCGTCCTTCCTAATCGCTGAATCCACGGTTTATACGGTTTGATTTGTTTTTCCTTTGCTTGTCTCTTCATTTTTCAACTTTATGAAAGTATATTTTCAAGGAATCCTCTTGTGACGGAAGGGTCGCAAATGGTCGAACGGTATCGTGCATATATAATGGAAGGAGGAGAAGTATGAGAACGGGTTTTCTCTGCGAAACATCCTGCGATCCGCAACAGCGTCACTAATCGCATCCTGTCATCCGTCAAAATCGATTTTCTTTATCGTTACGCTAACGATTTCCTTGTTTCTACACGGCTGAGAAACCACAAGACAATTGGCGTTAAAGTTCACCTGAAATGATTATTTTTGCAATCGTTTTTATGAACCGATTTTCATATGGTTCTCGCGACTTTTTATAAAACGGAAAGACATTGATGAATCCGCAAATGAAAATGTAAAGTTACTATTTTAAAAAAGCTCATTTTTGAGGTTTTTAAGGAATAAAAAAGTCACTAGAGCTTATTTTAAAAACCTGTTCAAATTGGTTTTCTAGTTTGAGAAGTTTTAGAAAAACTAAGAAGGACACTAGTCAGTGACACTCATTACAAAGTTTGGTTATCTCACACAATCGTGTGTTCCAAGTAATGTCCAAATATTTCCGTTTCATTTAGTAAATTATTTTGTCAGTGTTTTTACTTATATCGAGATTAGTTCATTTTTAAGGCGAAGTATATCAAATTTCGATATATCGAAGTACTGGGAAAATCCATATACAGGGTGCCCCAGTTCCTTCTGACGAAACTCAGGGAATCGATTCTACTCTTCATTTGGAGCAAAAAATGCCCAGGAGAAAATTTTCGGAAAGTTCTCTATTTTGAAGATATTCGTCAATTTAGGTTTTTTCAACTTTTCGCTACCTTACCACATAAAAACGCTTACAACATCCAAAATGTTGAGACTGCAACAAATCCAATTACACCATTTGAAAGATCGCTAAATTTTCTATAAGATATTTCTATTTGCACTAATCTGAATGATATAAAACGTTAGCCAGTATCAGTTGGAACTTGTCANTTTATATATATAAAAGAATGGAGAAAATATCTGATAGTTTCTGGATTTGAGAATTTGCATAAATGATTTCTCTTAAGTTTAAGGATTGGGCAGTTTGGATGCGATGGGTTTGTGGCGATGGCATATTTGGCTGAAGCATCCCTTTTAAGTCCATATCGGCTTCACTTAAATGTTACATAAAGCAGCCTTTATTTGTAAGAGGTGTCAAAGGATATTAAGAAACTGTCAAATATCTGTCGATGTATAGTCTTACGCACCCTGTCGCTGTTGGGAGGAAGATATAATTATATTTATAAGTATACGGAGGACTTTTTGCGGATAGTGATGGTTCAGGGTTTTTCCATTTTGTTAATTCCTTTACACCCCAAGACCCTAATAGAGGGAGGTGGTGTTGAGGATTTGAAGTGATAACGACTGGGTTACTTGAGCGGATTATGAAATGTAGGGCAATTATTGGTATCCAACAAAGTATTTTAAGAGACACATCTTAAATTCTGTGTTGGGTTTTAATTTTAACGAAAACAGCCAGGCCCATTTTTTCAATTGAATGCTTTTTCGAAGCCTTAGGGCATGATCCTCAGAAATGTTTAGTAGCCAGAAATGACTGATACAATGATCGTTGCGACGACGAAGGGTTTGATTATCCACCAGTTGCCCATTTTCCCCAAACCGCGTCATGTGCTGTATCGCGATAATCTCAATGATATCAACTGATGACAGATTATCAATGCTCCACGACGATGCAGACCACGTTCTTGGCAGTGAGGATACAAATGCGTCATTTGGATCCTTAATGATCCTGAATAATCAGAATGTCCAGAACTTATAAAATTCCGATGGTATCTCAAAGAAGAGCACTCGCCATTTTTCAGCCCGTATCGCCTTGGTTCTTACCTCTCTTCAGCATATAATGAGCTTCTTTCCTTATAAGATCAAAATCATTATTTAATTTTATGTCAACATTTGTAGAACCCATTCACTTCTTTGGTGGTTCCCATTCGGTAAAATTTCACCGTGGATTTACTTAGCAGAAAAATATAAATACAATAAGAAAATTATTCTATTTTTCAAAGAAAGTCAGAAAAATCTGATGCAGATATTCACCATGGCAAAATATAAATGAAATAAGGTTACATATGAATTCAGTATATTTATAAACAGCAAAAAATAACAAAAAATTTAAAAAAGTTTAAAATGAACCTTTGCATTTGCAATTTGAAAACGATTATATTTTAATTAAATTAGTACAAAAGCTAAATATTAACTATAAGATTTAATTCTTCTTTCCAACACTAAATTTATACAAGATAGTGAATAGGTACTGTTGTGAACTGTGGGAAAATTTATTAAGAAGTGATGCAGATCTATCATGTTTAACAAATGTTACAAAAGAAACGTTTTTACGAACAGGCTCTTCACCAACAGAAGGTCTAAAATTTAAATAACAGTTCACCTCTCAATTTTAAAGCCCAACTAAATTCGGACAATTTCGATTCGTCCAAAATCTGCAGGAACGCGCATTCTGCCCAATCCTCTCGTTGTCGGTAATGAGACTTCTGTATAATTGGAACCTTTCAGAGAAAGACACACCAGATGAACACTCTGCCCGATGAGCGGACCTTATTAAACCAGGCAGTTTGGACAGTTGGGAGTACCAATTAGAGGGGTCGTCTAGCGACCAGTGAATTAACACGAGCAACTTCAAATTTCAAGAGCAAACTTTCCAGACATAAAGCCTTCTTTTATTAACTCGTAGCAGTAATTTTTTATACAGTTCTATATACAGTTTATACAGTTTCAATGTATAGGTCGATTCGATTTTGTAAATTTTTGAAACTGTCCTGGTTACCTTTTACAGCTGGATGAAAAAAAATTGCATTTACCCAGAATCGAACGCTTAATTTTTATACTTTTATAATGTTGAATGACTAGATTCTAGATTCTAGATCTTCCCTGACAATTCTGAAGAAGGTTATATGTAACTGAAATTTTTTGATAGTTGAAAACAACATATATTCCTTCTTTCTGCTGACAGCGATTACATTTATAGTGATTTATTGTTTTGATTAAATGTGCGTCTTTTTGTCTAATTAATATTGGCTTGATTATTTTTTCAAACTGATCGATTTTAGATTCATTTTAAGTTTTTTTATAAGAGTTGAATGGGATCAAATAACGCAAACTCATTAAAGATAATGTAGATAGAATATAATTTATAATATCATTTCTTCAGTTTGATTAGATAATTTATTTTAAAAGCTACCTTCTTTTTTCCTAAAGCACTTTTTTTCTGCTACTTGCCATCATCCCCTTAAACAACAAAACGTTAAAATGTTTAAAATATATTATAACAGTTTTAGAAAAGGAAACAAGAGTTTTAAATTTTACATTAAATTATGTAATCAAAAACGATATAATCTCTTTGCAACTGATAGTGATCTATTTTTATAATGGGACAGAGGTAAATAGACTTTTTTTAGATATTGTTAATATCAACCCAATTTGTCAAGCTGTAGTTCATGAAGCTTTGCACAGAAAATATACTGAGAAAGTATGAAAAGTGAACAGATATATGTTTATTAATTTGAAGCTGGTCTGGGTGTGCCTAACATTGCCAATACCTGAAAATAAAAAACAAGTTTAAAAATAAATAACAATTTAAAATTGGAAGACACAAGTTTATTCTGCACTCTCCGGTCTTCTATCTAACAATAAGTTCCCAACTATCCTCCTTATACCTCTAGGGCCGCTGATTTAAAATGGGAATCGGATAATATTTTTGACGAATTTTGCCTATCAAAGATGGGGTTCCGCAAGGAAGCATTCCAAGACCAATCGAAAAGAGAACACAATCAACAAAGCTGACCAACGCATTGTAAACACAGAAATCACACCCTACGCGGACGACACCGCGATCTTATCCGCACACTACGGTTCTTGCCAAGCAACCGAAACAATCCTAGTACACCTATCTTCTTGGGAATATCTACACTAA